GCGGGCCTTGGGCACTATTTCCCGGCTGCTGAGGTTTATTTGCAATTTCCCTGAACTGTCAGTGAGTGCTTGGAGTGGGGGAAAAGGCTGACCCAGCGGGCCCTGCTTCTCTGCACATGGGGTATCTGAGAGCCTATGGCTCCGCAGAGGGTTACTGGGGGGTGGGTGATCACAGTGTCCCTCTTTTTTTTTGCATTAGTGCCTTTTCTGTTCCTATGGGGTATGAGGCTTAACTTGTTTGCTTGCTCTGCCCTTGGCCAAGTGAGTTCCAATTGGCTGGACACATCTCAGCCTTGTTGGGGAACCTGGGCCTAAACAGCTGGGTTGGGTCCACAGCTTCCCATTGGCTACATGTTTCAGGGATCTGCCTGCTCATTTCCCTGGGTGCTGCTTTGAAAAGTTTTTCTTGGCCAGGGAGAGTGTGGAGCTGGTGAGGTGAGGCGATGCATGCAGGCAAATGATTTAGTGGTGTGGAGGGGCAGAGAGGTTGAACAGAGGTGGTGGCCACAGTGCAGGGAAGTCCCTTTTGGGATGGTGGGGAGTTAACCAGTTTCCTCTTCCGGGCAGCACATGGAGAAATTCGCGATGAGTGGGAAACTGATGAGCATCTTGGGCCTCTTCTGCATGGACGGCAACCAAGAGATCAGCATAGAGGCATCAGAGGCATTGCATTACCTGTTCAAAATCCTTGTGCTGCAGAGAAGTAAGCACTATGAGCCTGGGTGGCCATTGGGCTGCAGCCGTGGGGACCCATGAATAGCAAAAGCATATACGCACTATTCACTGAAAGCTCGCATTGTGTCAGGCACACGCTAAAGGGCAGTTTCTTCTCACGAGGGCACTGGAGTAAATATGCTAAGATGCCCCAAGATGAGGGAGCCCTGTTACAAGCAGATCTGGAAACTGTCTGGATGAGCTACACCCCCTTGGCTGATGCCATGCCCTCTTGCATGAGATTCTCGGGGAAAAGGGGAGTTAGGCTCGCAGCCACCCATGGAACCAACGTGGACACTCAGTGTTTTCCAGTGGTCCCAGCCTTACTGCTAGGCCTAGGACTGAGAAAATGAACATATTTTCTTAGGGAATAAATTGAGCCCATCTTTGCTCAAGGAAAACAAAATATACAAACAGCCATACATGCTTACAGAGGTGCCAGGAGGATTTGCAAATATCCCTAAAAGGAGTTTCAGAAACTCTGACTTCTCATGGTTCCATAGGGCATACTTCTCATGAGGGCATTTGCTCAGCACTCGTAGGTAGAACAGCGCAGGGGCAGCTGCATGGATCAGACTGAGTCCCCAGCCACATTCTCCCTCCACCCATTGGCTGGTGCTGGGGAACCCTCCCCATTCTGTTGAGCAAATGTTATTTCACCCATTTCACTCTGTTGATCTTCTCTGAGGTTTGGAGGGGAAATAAAGAAGGGTGTGTTCCTTTTTCCCTGTTAAGGCCCTGCCCCTTAATTGTTGTTTTTGGATTGTAGGTGAGAAACAGAAGACAGAGACTATCCTGAAGGATTTACAGAAACATTTCCGTGGGGAATGGCTTGCTAGCCTGCAGGATCTAACACTGGTAACCCTCACTCTCCACAGTGCATGAAACACCCAAATGGGGACCTATGGCAGGGAAGAAGGAGAGCTGGGGTGGGGAGATTGTAGAGGGCCTGGGTGGGACCACAGAGGAGTAATCCTTCACCCAGGGGAGTGTCTCCAAAGCTCAAGGTCTCCTGGACAGCAGGCTGGAGGGGTAAGGCCCATCCTCTAGCTGCACTTGAGTTGACTGAGGCTTGAGGTCACTGAGAGAGCTCTTTTTTGAGACGGAGTTTTGCTCTTGTTGCCAGGCTGGAGTGCAATGGCATGATCTCGGCTCACTGCAACGTCTGCTTCCCAGGTTTAAGCAGTTCTCTTGCCTCGGCCTCCGGAGTAGCTGGGATTACAGGCCTGTGACATCATGCCTGGCTAATTTTTTGTATTTTTAGTGGAGATGGGGTTTCACCATGCTGGCCAGGATGGTCTTGAACTCCTGAATGATCTACCTGCCTTGGCCTCCCAAAGTGCTGGATTACAGGCATGAGCCACCGTGCCTGGCCGAGAGTTCTTTAAAAGAAGTATAGTCGGCCCTATTCTCCTCCTACAGATTGTGTCCTTGCGCCTTATTTATAGCCTGGCCTTAATTTTGTTCATTCAGTAAAGATGTATTGGTGGTCTTAGATATGGCATCTTCAGGCTCAGTCAACTCAGATCGCTCCATTCAGGAGTCCTCCCTTGCTCTCTCCCCTCCCTCACTCTCCACATCCAGTTCAACGCCAGGTTTGTTCATTCTGCCCTCTGGATATCTCTTCCTGCTCCAGCCGTACTGTGGGGCCCCCAGCGTCTCTTGCCTGGGTCACTGCAGCAGCCCTTTACTGATCATCCTGTTTCCGACTATGCGTCTTGTCACAGCATTTTCCATGCCACAGAGAACTGCGTTTCTAAAATTTATTATTTTTAATAATATTATTTAAAATAATAAATAAAACTATAATAAATACATAATGAAAATTATTATTCCCCTTCAGACTTTGCACTGACTTCCCACCGTCCTCAATCTAAAGTGCAAACTTGGCCGGGCGTGGTGGCTCACGCCTGTAATCCAAGCACTTTGGAGGCCAAGGCGGGCTGATCACCTGAGGTCGGGAATTCAAGGCCAGCCTGACCAACATGGTGAAACCCCGTCTTTATTTAAAAAAAAAAAAAAAAGTGCAAACTTGCTCACTTGACCCACAAGACCCTTCATGACCTGGTCTCTGCTGTAACTGTCCTGCCTCATCTTGTCTCAGTCTCTCTTTTCCACTGGCCCAGGTCTCCCTTGCAGGATTCAGTAGTGAGGCTGAACTTTCCTCTACTCCAGGCCTTTGCACATTCTGTTCCCTCTGCCTGGAACTCTGTCCTTCTTTTTCCTGGGGTCTGAATCATGGCAGAAGGGGAAGCAAACACATCCTTCTTCACATGGTGGCAGGAAGGAGAAGTGCTGAGCAAAGGAGAAAAGCCCCTTATAAAACCATCAGATCTTGTGAGAACTCACTCACTGTCACGAGAATAGCACGAGGGTAACTGCCCTGACCCACGGGGATTATGGGAACTACAATTCAAGATGAGATTTGGGTAGGAACACAGCCAAACTGTATCACTCATATGGCACTATAACTGCCTGTTTACTTGCCCGAACTTGATGGTAAATTCCTTGAGGGTAAAGGCATTGTATGTCTTAGTCGCAGTTGTCACCACTTCCCAGCAATAGAACCAGGCACAGAGCTCGGCCTCTGTATTGTTTGAGGGAATGAGCTTCACGTGGATATGTAGGTGTGCACTCAGAGGCGTGAGGCATGTCTGCTGTACATAACAGCAATCCTACTTGCATGGAATGCTGCAAGCTCACTAAACATCAGAACTCATTTCTAATGGACTCACTTACTTGCATTCCAAATCAAAGAGGAAATGGCTTTTGCATTGTCCTCTGGACCACTGCTCCTTCCTGGAGACTTTGGAGCTGGTGGCACTCTGAAGCTTGGCTCACACCATGGAATAGCCAGATGCTGGCCAGGGACCGCCTCCACTGGCCCCTGGTTCATTGGTCTCTTTGGAGACCAGAGCCTTTGGGGCAGACCTAAGTTGGGATGCTGGCATTGTGGAGACAGCTGTTCTTCTTTCTCCAGTTCTTCAGGAAATACCTGACCCCTGAGGAGAGAGCGGATGTGATCATGGTGACCATGGAGGCCGTGACCAACACCACCAGGCATGACATCTCCGCAGCTTCCAAGATGTTAAAGATGATCCTGAAGTACACGATTCCAGAGATTGGGAAGGTAGCAGCTCTGGGACCTAGTGGGTCAAGGTCAATTTAGGAATTCTTCCTTTCTGTTCTCTTTTGGGTCTTGTTCTATCTCCTACCAGTTTGGAGTTTAAAGAATCACCATGCTTCAACCCAGAGGAGAAAAGGTTGAATGAGGAGTTGTTTGTGATTGTGGAAAAGACTCTTCTGTGGGAAAGGGTGACCATCTGGCCTCCATCTCCACCAGGATGGGAAGAAGAATTGAGTCAATGCTATAGCAGACTGCTAGGGGCTCCTAGGACCAGGCGAGACCTCAGTCATCCTTCCTGGGTCCAGACAGTATTTGATGTGTTAGATCTATAGATGCCTTCTTCTTTATTCAGGAGGGAGGATTCAGGGGTGTATAGATATTTATATTTGTACATATATATATATGTGTGTGTGTGTGTGTGCATGCGTGTGTGTGTGTGTGTGTGTTTACATACACAGCCATAAACTCATGAGACTCTAATGTAAGTAGAGATGAAATACAGAGACTCCTTTATGACAGCTGGGACTGGCTCTCAGTAAAATGAAGACTGCATAGGGCTAGGCGAGTGGCTTACACCTGTAATCCTAACACTTTGGGAGGCAGAGGCAGGCGGATCACGAGGTCAGGAGTTCCAGATCAGCCTGGCCAACGTGGTGAAACCCCATCTCTACTAAAATACAAAAAATTAGCCAGGCATGGTGTCAGGCGCCCGTAATCCCAGCTACTCAGGAGGCTGAGGCAGGAGAATCGCTTAAACCCATAAGGCGGAGGTTGCAGTGAACCAAGACCGCGCTGTAGCACTCTAGCCTGAGCAACGGAGCAAGACTCCATCTCAAATAATAATAATAATAATAATCAAGTTAAGACAGCACAGTTTAGCTGTCCTTTTTATTACAGTGTTTTAAAAGATCTTATGGGCTGATGGAGTCCCTCTCATTTCAATGGCCTAACCCACTTCTCTACCTCCCTTACCTCTCCACAATAGGCCCTATTAGCAGTTCAGGAATCTTACACTTTCCACTTCTCTGGCCTGGATTTCCATTTGATTGAATACCTCAGAGCAGACCACAGATAAGCTCCTAGAGTTGAAGGGGACCCCAGAGGTCGACTCTAACTCCCCACTTGATGCTTGCAATCTCTTTTGAATGTTTCAAATCTATTTTGTATGGAATGCTTCACGAATCTGCATGTCATCCTTGTGCAGGGGCCATGCTAATCTTCTCTGACTAAAAATCATCCAATTATAGCGTATGTAAAGCACGCACAATGCTTGTAATCTCTTGGAGAGCACCCCAGACCACTGGACAGCCAGACGGTGCTGAAAGCAACCTTGAGGTGTTCACCACCTTAAACCATAGCTCATTTGTATTTGTAAACTATTTGCTTTTTTTATTAAAAAAATAATTTTTAATTTACAAAAAGGATATATATTTAAGGCATACAACATGATGTTTTGAAATATCTATACGTTGTGAGATGGTTGAGCCAAGCTAGTTAACATACCCATTAATTCACATGCTTATTTTTTTGTAGTGAGAACATTGAACACCTACCATCTTCACAATTTTCTTATACAGTAGATCTGAACTTATTTCTCCTGTTTAAATGAAATTTTGTATCCTTTGACCAATATCTCCCCAATCCTCCTAACCTCCAGCTCCTGATAACTACCATTCTACTCTCTGCTTCTATTAATTTGACTTTTTTAGATTCCACATCTAAGTAAGATCACCCAGTATCTGTCTTTCTATACCTGGCTTGTTTCACTTTTCATAATGTCCTTCAGGTTCATGTATATTATTACAAATGACAGTGTTTTCTTTTTTTTAAATTTTGAGATGCAGTCCCGTTCTTGTCCTCCAGGCTGGAGAGCAACGGTGCAATCTCAGCTCACTGCAACCTCTACCTCCCGGGTTCAATCGATTCTCCTGCCTCAGCCTCTTGAGTAGCTGGGATTACAGGTTCCTGCCACCACGCCCAGCTAATTTTTGTATTTTTAGTAGAGACAGGGTTTCATCATGTTGGCCAGGATGATCTTGAACTCCTGACTTCAGGTGATCTGCCTGCCTCAGCCTCTCAAAGTGCTAAGATTACAGGTGTGAGCCACTGGGCCCAGCCTCCTTCATTTTTAAGGGTGAATAGCATTCCATTGCATATAAGCCACATTTTCTTTATCCATTCATCTGTTATTGGAAGCTTAGGTCCTTTCCCTATCGTGGCTATTACAAAAAATGCTGCAATGAACGGGGGAGTGCAGATATCTCTTCATTTTCTTTGGCTATATACCTATAAGTGATATTGGTAGTTTTAGTTTTTCGAGTAACCTCCATAATGTTGGAAGTTTCCTTTTTATTTTTTCTTTGAGATGGAGTCTTGCTCTGTTGCCCAGGTTGGAGTGCAGTGGCTCAATCTCAGCTCACTGCAACCTCTGCCTACCGGGTTCAAGCGATTCTCCTGCCTCAGACTCCTGAGCAGCTGGGACTACAGTCATGTGCCACCATGCTTGGCTAATTTTTTTTTTTTTTGTATTTTTTTTTTTTTGAGACGGAGTTTCGCTCTTGTTACCCAGGCTGGAGTGCAATGGCACGATCTCGGCTCACCGCAACCTCCGCCTCCTGGGTTCAGGCAATTCTCCTGCCTCAGCCTCCTGAGTAGCTGGGACTACAGGCACGCACCACCATGCCCAGCTAATTTTTTGTATTTTTAGTAGAGACGAGGTTTCACCATGTTAGACAGGATGGTCTTGATCTCCTGACCTAGTGATGCACCCACCTCTGCCTCCCAAAGTGCTGGGATACAGGTGTGAGCCACACGCCCAGCAGGAATTTTCCATAATGGTTATGCTAATTTACATTCCATCAACAGTGTGTAAGGGTGAACCACTTTCTTTACCTAAAAGTTCTAACTTACAGACCACTGAAATCTGCATCCCTATAGTTTCTAGTCCCTGGCTCGAGTTTGTCTTCTGGGGTTATGCAGAACACAGTTAATATTCAAGTGTTCCTAACGCTAGGTGTTATATACTATGCTAGCTTCTTTTACATGTTCTTTTATTAAGTTCTTACAACGTATCTGTTGTAATTATTATTTTCTCTTTAGAAATGAGAAGGCCCAGTGCAGTGTCTCACACTTGTAATCCCAGAACTTTGGGAGGCCCAGGTAGTAGGATCGCTTGAGTTTAGGAGTTCAAGACCAGCCTGGGTAATAGAGCAAGACCTCATTTCTACTAAAAATCAAAATAATTACTTGTGCATGGTGGTGTGCACTGGTAGGCCCAGCTACTAGGGAGGCTGAGGTGAGAGGATTGCATGAACCCAGGAGATGGAGGCTTTGCAGGGAGCTATCATTGCGCCACTGCACTCCAGCTGCGGCAACAGAGCTAGACCCTGTCTCAAAAGAAAAACAAAATGAGAAAAGGCTCAAAGAGGTGACGAGCCTTAATTACTGAAGTTCTTGAGCAGTTATTATGTGACAGACACTGCTCCAACCAATTCAGATGCATTAACTCAGAACTGTTGATGTAAGTAAAATTGTCCTCATGTTTTGCTGGAGGAAATAGAACACAGAAAGGGTGAAAAGCTTTCCCAAACTTGCACAGTGAGTAAGTGGGGAAGTAAAATTCACATCCAGGGAATGTGACTTCAGAGTTCGTGCTGTCCACCACCTGCTGCCTCCAGCCCACATGGACAGTAAACAGCAAAGACTGACTCTTCCCTCCCTCCATAATAGTCTTGAGACCACTTGGAGGCAGCAATTCTATGCCCTCTGTCTTCCTTTCTCTAAGTTAGTCATCCTCAGATTCTTCCTTCATTCTTCATGACATGTTTTCCAGACATGGTTCTGGTCTCCCCCGACTGCTCTCTATTTTGTCCCTCTTAAAATACGGGGGCTGTTCTGTGGTGGGCAGTTCTGTATGAAGCTACCCTTAAAGTCCAAGGAAGCTGAGAGGTCAAAGAAAGAGGTTGATTAACCCAGTTTCTGAGAAACATTTAATACTGACTTAAAAGCAGAAGCCATGCCGGGTACAGTGGCTCACGTCTGTGATCCCAGCACTTTGGGAGGCCGAGGTGGGCGGATTACTTGAGGTCAGGAGTTTGAGACCAGCCTGACCTACGTGGTGAAACCCTGTCTCTACTAAAAATACAAAAATTAGCTGGGCATGGTGGCATGTGCCTGTAGTCCCAGCTACTCAGGAGGCTGAGGCAGGAGAATAGCTTGAACCTGGTGGGCAGAGGTTGCAGTGAGCTGAGATTGTGCTGCTGTACTCCAGGCTGGTGACAAAGTGAGACCAAAACAAAACAAAACAAAACGGAAGCCATGTCCACCATGAGAGGGTGGACCCAGCCACCACCCATCACAGCCCAAGGCTTCTGCACAATAGGAGTTGGGCATGGTGGGTGTTCCCTTGTCCCAGCTACTGGGAGGCTGAGTGTAAGCCCAGGACTTCAAGGCTGCAGTGAGCTCTGAGCATGCCACTACCCTGTCTCTAAGAAACAAACAAACAAACAAACAAATATGCCTTAGAGAAGGAATGTGTAGGACAATTAAAACCAACCCCTCAGGAAAAAGCAAGAAGGCTATGCAAATCTGCCGTAAGGGCAGGATTTATGGTTAGGATTGTTTTGACCTAAGGACAGGATTTACAATAGACAAAGTAGAAATCTTAGAGGCATTCTGGGAACAAAGCTTAATCAGAAGTCAGTATGGTGGCCAAAACGAAAAGAAAAGAACAAAATAAAACAAAAAGAAAAAAAAGCCAATATGGTGGGCCAGGCGCTGTGGCTCACGCCTGTGACCCTAGCACTTTGAGAGGCTGAGGCAGGTGGATTGCCTGAGCTCAGGAGTTCCAGACCAGCCTGGGCAACATGGCAAAACCCTGTCTCTAATAAAAA